GTCATGTGAAATAAAATCTCTCAAGAAATCACCTCTATGGAGTCTAGGGTTGAAAAATGGTGTAAAATGAGCTAAGTCCCGACTTTTCATCTTTTATGTAGCTGCAGGTTACACAATTACGAAGATGTTAGCAAATGTGAACCACTGATTGCAAATGCAATCAGTGTCTCAGCCCTACAGTAGTTGCAAATGTGATATAATGTTTGCATTAGCGGAGAACACCCCACTTGCAAATGCGAGCCAACCTTCGCAAATGCGAAGTTTCTCAACATTACAATGTATCGCAAATGCGATACAAGAGTCGCAAAAGCGAACATAGTATAGTTTGCATGTTTGCACTTGCGAGACTGACATCACAAATGTGAGGCTCGCAATTGCGATTAGGTTCTCGCAAATGCGAGACCTGTAACTTGACACCAGCAACAACTGTGCATCAGTTGTTCCAAATTAATCTGCAATGCATTCAAAACTCACCCAAGCCCCTCGGTCTTCAAATCGAACATATACACAAATGTAATAACATCATAAAATCTTGATCGCTACCTCAAATCATCCAAAGAACATCAAATAACAAGAATCGATCATCAAAATTCAAGATTTCAACTTGAAAACTCATTTTTCACAATCTCTCACATAATGCGCCGAAACGTGCTCGGGTCACCCGGGAACCCAGCCAAACATAGTACAAGTCAAAAAATATCATACAAACCTACCAGGATCGTCAAAATACCAATCCGAGGTTGTTTACCAAAAATATTGACTGTGACCAACTCAAATCTCATTTTAAGTCAAAAATAACCTTTTCTTTAAAAATTCACATAAAAGCTTTTCGAAAAGTGACACGGACCACACACGCAAATCAATAAATATTAAATGAAGCTATGAGAGGTCTCAGAATATAAAAATTAAGGCTAGTACGCAAAACGACCTATTGGTTCGTCACACATATGTTGCAATGTATTAAAGAAGATCTAAGTTTGTAGCTGATGTGGCAGGGTTACCAAGAGTTAGTTAGAAGAGTCAGTTGTTACTTACGCAGTTAGTTGTTATTAGAATTGTTAGCTGGTAATCAATTGGTTAGTTATAAAGAGGAGGAAGTTTCATTGATTCATTCTATAAGTATATTGTAAATTGTATATTGATATTCATTCAGAAAATAAATTATTTCTTCTCTTATTCTTCTAAAACTTCTCCGAGCTATCTTCTCATCAAAAGTTGCGCTGAACTAGCTTCCAATATCTTAGAGCATTAACTCCTAGATTAAATCTTCCTTCTCAATTCTCTAATTGCATCATTTGATATCAGAGTTGTCGCTCCTCGACATTAACATGGGCAGAGATAAGAACCAAGACAAACCCATTGAAGGCATGAAAAGGAAATTCTCAGAAATTCTAGCACAATTATAGATATTGATAGAGGGCTTGACTAGCATGAAATTTTGTAATGTAAACAAACAAGGAATTACTCGAAATTAAGGAGGCAATTGGGTTTATCAAATAACAATACAAGGGAATGGCATCTTCATTTGATGGTGAATCTTCAGGTCCTGTTAGATTTGGTCATTCTAAGGAAGTCCAAACAAGTTCTGCACCGACTGATAAAAGTTCTTTCACTCGATATTCTCGACTTGATTTCCCTCGATTTTATGGGTATGATTTGAAATCTTGGTTTTATATGGTGGATCATTTCTTTTCTTTGGAGAAAATTGCCTTCGATGAAAAGGTGAAGGTGGCTTGTGTTCATTGATGGTAAATCCATTGTTTGGCATAAGCCGTATATGAGATCTAGAAATACTGATACATTTTCAACTTGGACTGAATATGTTTTAGCCTATATGATAGCTTTGGGGATGGGTTTGAGGATCCAATGGAGGCTATCAAAAAATTGAGACAAGTTGGTAGTGTGAAGGATTACTAGACTAAGTTTAATAGGTTGTTAAATGAAGTTAATCTTTCAAATGAAAATGCTATCAGTTATTTCTTAGGAGGGTTGAAACCATAAATTAATAAGTTTGTTAGGATTCAATCTCCTAGAACATTAATGCAGGACTACAATTTTCTAGATTGCAAGAAGGTGTCTTTTAAGCTCATGCGCAATCTTGAGGCCTTAAACCAGTTCCACATACCAAAATCTAATCCTACCCACTCCTTATGTATTTAAACCACAGAACTACACAAATCTACCTTACCAAACTTTACACTCAGAAAAACTTTTGAACCAATTTCCCATAAAACCAATAGATCCTACGGTAACACAGCTGGTAGAACGTTGACTGCAGCAGAAATGGATGAAAAGAGATCAAGGGTTTATGATTTTTCTGTGATGAAAATATGTGTCATGACCCGCAATTTTTCACTGACGGGATCGTGATGGCGCCTAACATTTTACTTGCTAGGCAAGCCAACGTTAGAAAATCATTAAACCAATTCCTTATTCCCATTCAGTAATTAAAAATAATTAACTAAGATAAAATATAATAAGTACGGAATATCATAAAACTGTATTAATTACTACCACCCGGATCTGGAGTCACAATTCACGAGCATTATAGAATTTGCTACAAGTAATAGTCAGAAAGAAATACAACTGTCTGAATGAAAGAAATAAT